ATGTATCAACTACAAAATTGTATTAGTAGTAAAACTTTTTGTACAGTTTACTATTTTTTTTTACTACAACAATTTGTAGTAAAACTATTTACAGTGTCACATTAAATATCTTTTAATACAATAAAAATATCAATACAAGTCAACTTTATTTTGATATTTGACTGTGTACAATTGATTTTGATAACCTGGTAATGACAATTTACATGTTATTTTTGTGTTATATAAAATTATAAATGTCATATAGTTATCATTATATAAAATTATAGAGACTTGAGTTATCAAAGTCAGCTGTATATAGTTAAGTATCAAAATAAAGTTGATTTGTATTGACATTTTTATTGTATTAAAAGATATTTAATGTGATAGCAATAATTCTTTTACACAAAAAGAGGCAAAATTATCATTTAGAAAAAAAATACATAATTTATTCGATAAATCAACATAACATATTATAATATAAGCACAATCGATACATTTTTACAAAATTATAATTTTTGTTTTAGATATGTAAATGATTGTTTTATGCGAGAAAAAATTATACATTGCTATTGCATTTCATATTTTATTTGTTTTATACATATAATTATTATTAAGTATATTAAGTATATGATATATTTAATAAATATTTCAGAGATAAACTCAACTATCGAGCAACTGATCATGAATCATGTATAGCTTTGAGGGAGATTATAGGCGCAAGCCACAGCAGAATTTATCAGGTGCTAGCAGACGAGACGAGAGAGCCGTTCTCCTGCAGCACGCACAGTTAGAGAGACTAAAAAGGGAGCAACAGCGCAAGAAGCATGATGCGGCGCTGAAAATACAGGCGCGCATACGCAGCTTCGTCACCAGGAGGCTGATGTGCGCGCAGAAGAGAAAGGAGTTTGATGAAGCGCAACAGGCAGCTGGACGCAGAAACTTGAGCCTAGAAGAACTAGTGCCGTACTTACGAAAGTTGTTATTCTTTTATAATCACATCTTAGACACTAACAGACTGATATGGGTTCTTCAGCACTTTTTGAAGCACCAGAGAGAAATTAAATTGAAATCAATAAGTTCGTCGCAATGGCTGTGGAGACTGCGGTAAACTATTATATAAATATTATAATATATAGAAAAAAAGGTAGTTTTATGGTTAATGTAGATATAATGGCCCCTCTTAATATCTCCGCTATTAGATTGGATAGAATTCTAATAATTATTTATGGAATTATTTGATCAGCAGCTCGATGTTGACGCCATAATACCATCTTCTTCTCTATTTAGAGAATATATCAGTTTCTATAAAAACAATTAATGCTTACTAAACAATGCTAACTAAACAAATAATGCTTTATATCTCTGTTTTGTAATTTTTAATGATACTGTTAAGAGTTACAAAATAGGGACCTTCTATGAAACGTTCATTATGGTATTTATTTTAAATAACATATTGTTCGATACAGATGGATTCTTCGCATGTGTATGCGATACAACACGGAAACGCTGCCAGATGGAGCATACTCCCTGGCGATACCATTACGAGTTCTGGAAGTATTTACAACGCGAGAAGATACAGAGAAGGTGCTACCATTATCGGCATCTAAACACACTTATCGGCATCTAGAAAGTATATTTGTCTACCTGATCCAACATAATTACTTCGAGCAGTTGAGGAAGCTGCTGGATGAGAAGGTACCGCCGATGGCAGAGATGACGTCGGTCGCACCTACACCGATCTCCAAGTGTTTACTGGACATGATCAAACGGCCTGTCGATTTGATTTCTTACGTGAACCACAGGGAGAACTTCTCCACGCTCGTGCTGCGGGAACTGTGCAGAAGCGTATTCTCGCCCAGACTGTCCGATTCTATTCGCATGTTTGTTGTGCCTGCATTAGCAGAATTCAAAGATTTTCCATATATCCAGTTAATTGTCTGTATCAATCGACTCCAACTGGTACCTACGATAAACCTGCTTTATTGTATATTGTCGTTGGATTCGTCTAATCAGTTTTGTAAGTATAAACAAAAAGCTTTATTAACATTATTAGTTTTAATTCTACCACAGACAAACAAAATATTATTCAATTTTCTGGATAACGTTGAATCATTTTTGTATTGTTTAATGTTCTTGTTTATATTAATTATATTTATGTTCCTATATTTATGAGTAATATTATTCATATCCACACAGAAAAAAAGATTTCTTTGGAGATTTAATAAATTTTATTATAAGCAAATAAATTTGTTATTTGGAATAGT